TTTTATTACCTTTAAATTGATTTCTAGAGATTATCCAAGGTGCTTCATGACCCTTAATTGGGTCCCAAGCTCAACTTTGGGAACCAAATTTGTGCAGTGGTTCCCAAACCTTTCAGCTTTTGACCCACAAAATAACAGTAGCAGAGACCTGTGCCCCCAACTATTTTTGGATGATAAACATTTGTATCAGGTCAACAAAACGTGGGCATAGTAACAATATTTTTATACTACATTTATCCATTTTAAATACACTAACCTCACTCCTTTGTAACAACTATGACAAAAATGTAATCAATTCAAAAAATCTTTTCAGGACCCCACCTTGATGTTTTGGGACGCCACTTTGGGTCCCGACCCCAACTTTGGGAAACACTGATCTATTTGACTGCACTGCTTTGGTTCTAACTTGTGATCTTTTTAACGTTTTTTCTAAAGAATAAAATTGCATTGGTTATGTGTTTGAACCAGGTGAGCCATATCACAGTTGGGAGTGTTTGAACCAGGAGAACCGGGGCAATGTTCTACGCCCACTTTGTCCTCAGCAAACGTGGGCCGCTGGCCAAGATCTGGCTGGCGGCTCATTGGGACAAAAAGCTGACCAAGGCCCACGTGTTTGAGTGTAACCTGGAGAGCAGCGTGGAGAGCATCATCTCACCCAAGGTAACGGCAAAACCAGAAGAAAAGCTTTTATTAGAGACTCAAAGGCCACATAGAACAAAACACAGAATGTTGACTTTTCTGTTATTCAATTCAAAAATACTTTATTGATCCTAAATTAGGTGAATGGGAAATGAAAGCTTTTGGCAAAAGCTACAAAAAAGCCATTGCATAGGGAGTAAAGAGCTGAGCGTTGCAGGCCACTTCTAGAAACACTAGTATTTACGTGTTTAGCCTACAATTCAATTTTTCCACAAGCTGGTGTCCAGGAAAATTCATTACACCACTAAATGTTCATAACATACTTGGGTTTATTTATTTTATATGTTCTTGCCATCGCTTTTAGGTCAAGATGGCGTTGCGAACATCTGGCCACTTGCTCCTTGGGGTGGTGAGAATCTACCACAGGAAGGCCAAATACCTGCTGGCTGACTGTAACGAGGCCTTCATCAAGATCAAGATGGCCTTCAGACCAGGTGAGAAGAGCTGACTCTGGTAAAGAAGAAGCTGGGAGGACACGTTTCCGATCGGCGTAACATGACTTGTTTTCTGTATTCAGGTGTGGTGGATCTACCTGAGGAAAACAGAGAAGCTGCATACAACGCCATCACTTTACCTGAGGAGTTCCATGATTTTGACCAACCACTACCTGACCTGGAGTAAGTCTACCAGATTTACAGTAGCTGTTTGATTTTTTTCTTATTAAATACTTAAAAAAGAGTAGAAGTTGTTTCTGACTCTGTTTCAGTTGTATGCAGCAGTTTCACTTTTCTTTTTTGACTTGTGATTTGTAACTTGTTGTTTTGAGATAATCTGAGATTGTTTGAATGCTTAATCGTCAGAAGTCTCATTTTAGAATTGATTAGATATTTACAATTACTAATTATGTCTGTAGATCAGACTTTGCTCCACAGGTTTTGAACAAATTAAGGAAATCTTACAGCTACGTGGAATTGGTTGTTCTTTTAAACAATATTGGAGAGCTGAGTGAGGATCATTACTGATGTTATAAGGCGGGTTTTGATCGACTCTTTGGGTAACGTACGACCAAACATAATTTCTGGCGTGTTTTCCAACAGTGACATAGATGTGGCTCAGCAGTTCACTTTGAACCAGAGCAGAGTAGAAGAGATCACCATGAGGGAAGATGTTGGAAACCTCAACCTCCTGCAAGACAATGACTTTGGTAAGAGCCGTCTGCATTTCTTGACCCACACACGTTCAAATAAATAGGGCATATAAATATTTTTCCATTTTAGTTAAATGTCAGAATAAATTTTAACTTTTGCATAATATCCAAGTTTATTTTGAAGTAGTTTCAAGGCACTGTACAGAAGATTAACAAGCTGAAATCAGGTAAGATAAAACCAATCATTTTCTGTACCCCTCAGCTGATTTTGGTATGGATGACCGTGAAATGATGCGTGACGCCAGCACATTTGAAGATGACATCATTCACGGTGGCACCGCTCCTAACCTCCTGCTCGAGGCGGAGCCTGGTCCAGCTAACCTCCCCGACAAGTCCAACCACATGGAGTATGATGACTTCGGTGACGGCTCCATGGGCAACAGTGATGGGGGGATGCTGGGTGAGCAGCGTTTTTTTTTTTTGTTACTCTATCAGCTTTATATTGAAGCTGTTTTGTAAAATATTTATCATAAATTATATTTAAGGATCTTCCTTGTCTTATATTAGTTGACAAGTTGCTGAGTTCTGAAGACGGAGGCGGCATCTTTGATGATCCCCCAGCTATCACTGAAAGCGTCATGATGCCTCCAGATCACGGCGACGACGAGGACGACTTCGACACCCTTCAGTCACGTAAGTGATTGAGAGACGTGGAAGCCTCTAACAAACAAATATTAAAGTAACCCATGTGTTTCTAAGTGTCATCACATTGAAGATAATTCTGCTTTTGTCTTTTCAAGCGGGCCCAGACAGTCCAGACTCCGGTCCAGCTGAACCACTGCCAGCCATGGCTGACCAAACAGAGCAGACCACTCTTGTTCACAATGAAGAGGAGGCTTTCGCCCTGGAGCCCATCGACATCACTGGTAGTTCAGGCTTTCTTGTTCTCTGTGCAGAAATAAGTTTGATGAATTTTAATCTGAGACTTTTAAGATTTGTTCGTTTTTTTTAGGATTTTTATCCAAAAATTCTTAAAAGATGCATTTGTGCTGTATAGTTACAGTTACTATTGAAAATTATAGATTGCACTAATAGTTGTTTTAAATTCATGA